GTTCCAAAACCAGCTGGGCTTTGGCATCTGAAATTCTAAGAATGCTTTCTTAGTATTTCTTCCAGGCTGTGGTACATTTGGAAAAAAAACATTTAAATGGTTGGCCCTGGCCCCTGCATCATGCTATTTATATGAAAAATATACCCGGTATCTTGCGAACTGCTGTTCTCCGATGAGCTCTCCTGGGGCCAGCTGTGATGCAGGCCAGGCTTCCGAGCCAGGCAGGGGCTGGGCCTCCTGTCTTTTGGAAACGTGGGAATCGTATAGGGAGGCGTGCTGACCCTAAGGATGATGATGTCAAGGCCAGCAGGGGTTTCAGCACGTGAGAGCTGGAATTTGTTTTATTCGACTTTTTGTTTCACTAAAAGGTTCTATTACAGTTTTAAACTGTCATCATTTGAAGGCTTGCCTGTGGCCTGCAGCCAGGGTGAGGAAGTCAGAACCCGGAGTGTGTCGGGGTGACCACAGGCTGAGCACACAGAGGGAGCCCCGGGACCCCAGCCCTGGTCCGAGTGTGACCTCTGGCCTCTGGTCAGTTTGGCTCTGTTTGGACCTCAGATTCTCTAGTTGCAAGAGGAACTTGGACCAGCTCAGTGGCTTGAAACATTTTGAGAGTAATAGAACCCTTTATTCCAACCACATCTGAAGTGGAAGAAGAAACAGAAATGTGGGGTTGAAGTGTGTGGGGTGGGGGTGCCCAGTGCCCTGGTACTTCCTAATTCCTTCCTGCACAGGGCTCCGTTTCCGGGAGAGGGGAGTTCACAGCATCCCCCTTCTTTCCTTCTTTTCTGCTTGGTCTTGGAGCACGGGGACACTTCCGCCTAGAAATCCTTGAGGGCTGCTTCACGGCCAGTGCCTGGAATTCCTGGAGGACCGCCCCTTCCTGCAGAGGGGCTGGGCCAAGAGCTGCGTCAACGCCATCAAGGTATGTGGGGACGGAGCGTGAGTACAGGCCACGTGGCTGCGCCCCAAGGCCTGGCCGGGCCCTTCAGCGCCATGCAGGGTGGCAGGTGGGGCAGGAGTGAGACCTCCAGCAGTGGGCAGTGTGTCCCTGGTCCCATAGGCCCTCTCCTTTCCTCAGCTGCCTCACCTGACCCAGTCAAGCCGGGGGAGCTTCCCCTATGGCCCAGAAGGGCCTCAGAGAGGGACCCTGGGTCCCTGAGGCATCCTGAGACCTTCCCTCTAGTGCATGGGTCCAGGAACAAAGGTGGGAATGTACCGTGAGAGCTGCGCGGTTCTCTGTGACTGATCTGATACGAGAGGCCACCTTTGGTTCTCTGGAGCTGGGGATACCTGGTTACCAAGGGATCCCCCAGGGCCGTATGGGCTGGAAAACCACAGTGGACTCAGCTGCTCTGAGAAGGGTGGACCAGCCCACCCTGCCCCCAGCCTACCCAGCAAAGCTGACCCCTGAACTGGACCTCTCTGCAAAGCCCCACCGGATGGCCTCTCGGGGGAAATGGACTTCGGGACAGCTCACTTCTTGTGGACAAAGAGTAGCTGGGGGGATTTTGCCCAGGCCCAGAGGGGTTTGTCTATCCCACACTTGGGTTACCTCAAGGAAACCAAGGGCAGCCTGCGTGCCCCTCCAGGCCTCCCTCGCACTCCCCTGTGCAAAGCCCAACCCTCCGAGCACCTCCAAGCCGGCCATCTATTCTTATCTATTCTTATCGTCCAGCCCACAGCTCTCGGGCAGGTAGCTGTTCTCCCCGCATTCTACAGAGGGCGAGCCGAGACTCAGAAGCTGGCTCCCTGGCCGCCCCACGGGAGTGGCACAGCTGAGACTGCAGCCAAGTCTGTGTCTGTCCCTGTTCCAGTGCTGGCCACTTTCCCAGGCTTCAGTCCCCTCCTGTCAGGCCAAGAGCCCCTCACACAAGTTCCAGCTGCCTGTGCATGGTTCTGTCTCCTGACAAAGCAGTTGAGGAACAATTTGCCTTCTATACTTCAGAGGGTCAGGACCAGGGAGCTTCCGAGGGGAGGCAGGGGCAGAGGGCCTGCAAGGGGCTTCAGAGGGGATGCGGGGGGCAGAGGGCCTGCAGGGGGCTTCGGAGGGGATGCGGGGGGCAGAGGGCCTGCAGGGAGCCTCGGAGGGGATGTGGGGACAGAGGGCCTGCAGGGAGCCTCAGAGGGAATGCAGGGGCAGAGGGCCTGCGGGGAGCTTTGGAGGGGGTGGGGGGGGGCAGGGGGCTGGCGGGAGCTTTGGAGGGGATGCGGGGGGCAGAGGGCCTGCAAGGGGCTTCAGAGGGGATGCGGGGGGGCAGAGGGCTTGCAGGGGGCTTCGGAGGGGATGCGGGGGGCAGGGGGCCTGCAGGAAGACAGAGACTGAGCTGAGGCAGAGTGTGCATAGACAGCACCCCATGTCCGTGGGCTCCAGCTGCATAGTGAAAAGATCCCCCCCACGTTGGTGTCTATGCTGAATATGTCCATCATTCCCTGAAAGATACTGTGCAACTATTATTTGTATTTTTAAATTTTTTTTGAGTTGGAGTCTTGCTCTGTCACCTAGACTGGAGTGCGGTGACCCAATCTCAGTTCACTGCAACCTCTGCCTCCCGGGTTCCAGCGATTCTCCTGCCTCAGCCTCCTGAGTAGCTGGAAGTGCAGGGATGCACCACCACGCCCAGCTAATTTTTGTCTTTTTAGTAGAGACGGGGTTTCACCATGTTGGCCAGGCAGGTCTCAAACTCCTGACCTCCAGTGATCCACCCTCCTTGGCCTCGAAAGTGCTGGAATTACGGGTGTGCACCGCCGTGCCCGGCCCACACAACTATTTACATAGCATTTACATTGGACGAGGTATCATAGTAAATAGAGATGATTTCAAGTCCAGTAAGTCCTCATTTAATGTTGTGGATAGGTTCTTGGAAACTGTGACTTTAAGTGAAACGATGTATGGCAGGTCATTGAATATGTCGCCTTGTTCAATGAGGATTCATTATGAGATTAATGAGGGGAGAAATGGCTTTGTTACGTATCTTGTGCTTAAAGCCAAGGTGCCCAAGAACCTAATGACGGTGTTAAGCAGGGAATTACTACCTATGGGAGGATATGCGTGGGTTATGTGCCAATACAATGCCATTTTAAATCAGACCTTGGGCATCCTTGGATTGTGATATCCCGGGGAGGTCCTAGAACCAGTTCCCAGGGATAGGGAGGATTGTGTGCACCCCACCTTTCCCCGGTGGCCTGATGTGGGCCCCCTTCCTGCCGTTCTGTCACTCTGGCTAGCTCCAGGATTCTGTTTTGTAAAATTCCATTTTGCCCTAAGTTGGTGGCACCTGGAGTCCAGGGGTAGCATCGTCAAACAAGAATTTGCCTTGGGAAACTTGCTGGCTAAATTGTGTCTTGTAAGGCCCAAGTCACACTGCATGGAGGATGTCCCGAGGCCCGAGCACAGTCCCCTGGGCCACCTCCAACACTCAGGGGCTTGCTGAGAACGCAGCAGGGGAAGGTGGAGGCTAACATTTCTCTGACTGAGGGGCACGAGGTCAATCTCCTTTAATCCCGCTGTCCCTGTGAGGAGCAAGCCTCGCAACTCCAGGTGGGGACCCAGGTGCTCAGCCTTGGCTGCCTAAGACTCTAACTCTTTCACAAATGTAAGCCCTTGTCAAGGAGAAGGTGATGCCCTCGGGTCCCTGGATGGGGAGGCTGACACTGCTGGGAGTCCTTTCCTGGGGTCTGGGGAGCAGGCGAGGCAGGGCCCTCCACCACCTCCCACTGCCAGGACTCCTTCCCCACACCAGCCCAGGCATGACCCGTCGCCTCAGACCCGCATCCTGGTGGGCTCTCAGAGAGAAACACGCTGGCATTCTGCCAACCCCACCCCTACACGGTGAAGGGCATGGTGCTGATGGGGGCATGACAGGCCCCTGCCTCCTCCCAATAGCCGCAGCCAGCACAGGGGAGGGGAAGACGGGTGGTTCCCTGTCCCCTCCTTTTGGGGGTGTCCCTGTGAGCTTCCCCATGTGGCCCAGAACATGGCTCGGGGTATTTCTTGCGCAGCATGGGGTAGAAAGGACTGGCTGACTCCCTGGGGGTGCCTCTGAGGCCCACTGCTGCATAGGTGTGGGGTCGGGAAGCTGCAGGTGCGGAGGGGCATGGGCACGAGGGCCAGGCTGGGGAGGGTGGGGTCCTGGCTGGGCCAGGCCCGCCCTGAGTCCCCCAGCAGGTGCTCCATGCTGGCTTACACCCTCTGCCTCTCTCTCTTCCTTCCTGGCCCCGACCCTGGAGGCAGCAGACCGTGCCAGGCACCAGGTGGGACAAGCCTCACTGGTCTCAGAGATGGCAAGGGAAGGCCAGGGTCAGGCCAGCCCCTGCTCCGAGCTGTCCGGAGGTGTCTTCCTTGGACCACACGCCTCTTCCCAGGCAGAAGCCACCATCCTGGCGCTCTAGTCTCTTCCCCTGGTCCCCTGTTTCCTCCGACTGCACCTTCCTGCTTTCCTGGGCCGGCCCACAGCTTCCCCGGAATGAAGGGCCGTGTTCTATCCTGCCCCAGCAGCCCCAGGTCCTCCCAGCTCCATAAAGCCTGTTTCTGCTCTCTGGGTTGTTGGTGGCTGCTCTGGTGGTGTGTGGAAGGGGAGGAGGACAGGAAAGGGCCCCACTTGGGAACGCACCCCACCCCTCTCTGTGCCCTGCAGGCTCCTCTGTGCAACTGTGCCCCCACAGTTGCACATTTCATCGGGAGGGGAGGCCCCATGAGGGCAAGAGGGGCAGGAGCCATGTTGTCTGACCTGGCACCTCTGGTACCTGACACGGTGCTGTGCACACACGTGGGAAACCGCTGGTGTTCACTGAATGAATGAACGGTGCTGTCTGTGCCAGGCACCCCACCCGGTGCTGGGGGCACTATCTGTGCAAGGTGGTCCATATCGGGGAACAGGAGTGTGTGGGGCACGCAGTGATGGCGGGAGTGCATCCTTGCCAAGGATGGTCAGTTTTATTCTTTTATTTTTTTGTGACAGAGTCTCACTCCATTACCCAGGCTGGAGTGCAATGTAGCGATCTCGGCTCACTGCAACCTCTGCCTCCCAGGCTCAAGCGATTCTCCTGCCTCAGCCTCCTGAATAGCCGGGATTACAGGCGCCTGCCACCACGCCCAGCTAATTTTTGTACTTTTAGTAGAGATGGGGTTTCACCATGTTGGCCAGGGTGGTCTCAAACTCCTAACCACAAGAGATCTGCCCGCCTTGGCCTCCTGAAGTGCTGAGATTACAGGTGTGAGCCACCACTCCTGGCCAGGACAGGTCAGTTTTAAAATGTAGACGTTACTGGGCCTGTCCCCACATGTGTCACACCCCAGCACAGACACCACACACCACACAGTCCTGGGGAAGGAAATGAAAGCAGAGGTGGGCTCTGTGGGCACTTTGGTGTAGCCCAGAGTGAAGGGGGCGCTTCTCCGGGAGGGCTTGCTGGGTGGTCAGGCTGGGGAGCTCTTCTGTCCAGAGCCCCAGGGGGCTTCCCAGCAGCCCCTGATCCCCGCTCCCTGACCTCCAGGTGGGTCCTGTATGAGGAACCCAACTACCACAGCCACATGTATGTGGTGGATGGGGCGACTTCGCAGCCTCTGCGACTGGGAGGCCCACAGCGCCTGAGTACAGTCACTCCGCAGGGTGGTCAATTTCTTCTAGCCAAGCCCCCCAACAGGATGGCCGGGCGCAGCCCTGGGACAGAGGCAGCCCCTTGCAGTCCCACCCAGACCTTGGGACCTTGGCCAATAAAAGTCCTGAAAGCCAGTGGTGGCCTCTGAGCGCTCTCCAGCTGTGGGTGTCCCAGGCCTGGGAGGAGCCAGACGATCTGATCCGATCTGGGGCACTTTCCCAGACTCCTGGGGACCCCCTGGGCCAGGGAGGGGAGAGTGGTGGGGAGAGGTGGTGCGAAGCGATGGGGAGGGGAGAGGGCTGGGACTCTGGCTGGTGCAGGACTCCCCAGGCTCACTCGGAGCTCTGCCTCTGTGTGACTCAGCACGGCAAGGCTGCCAGGCCACGTGGCCAAAGGCCCGACCCAGGTCCCTGTGTTGACCTCTGGGTTTTATCCTCACAGCTAATCTTGGCCTCGGAGTTTCTAAGGGAGGCCCCTCTCGAAGGATGGTTTGGACCCAGGTCGGATCCCTCTTCTGCAAGAGAGAGAAAAATGAGGGGTGGTGAGTGTCGGGAGGGGGCTTGCTTGAATAGGTGAGCTCTGTGGGAATAGAGGGGCTTTCGGGGTACAAGGGGCATGGGACATGTCTGCCGCAGTCCCTGGAGCAGTGGGGCCAGCAGATCCTGGAGGCCTTGGCTTGGGTCTTCGCCTCATACTGCACCCAGCGCCCACCTGTGGAATTCCTCCAGGCCTGGGCCCTCTCCAGGAACCTCGGATCCAGGACCCCTGCGTTATCCTCAGTAGCCCATCCCAGAAGGTCACAGGTGGAGGTGCCTGGGTTTCTGAGGAGAACGCAGGGGCCCTGGATCTGAGGTCCCTGAGCATGGGGCTCCTGGACATGGGGACCCCAAAGATAGATGTCCACACGGCCTATGTCCAGACTGAGGGCTGGCTGGATGAGCGATCAGTGGGGGGGCCAGGTACGTGGGTTGAATCACCCATGCACCCACAGCATTCTGATCTGGCTCATGGTCCAGCCTCTAACCCCCCACCACGATCCCAGAGGGCCCCCCACCAGCCAGCTCCCAGCTGGCCTCGCAGTTCCCAGGTCCTCCTCACCGCACATCTGGCTCTGGTTTTCTGTGTAGGCGAAGGAGTCTGGACTGGGGAGCAGCTCCTTCAGGCTGGCTGCCGGGCTCAGAACCCCCAGGGAAAGCCGTAAGCTGCAGGTTGAATTGAGACATCTCAGTTGAACTGAGACACGCTGTGGGTTACGATCTGAGATGAACCGAGACACGCTGTGGGTTACGATCTGAGATGAACCGAGACACGCTGTGGGTTACGATCTGAGTTTAACTGGAGGGTGATGGGACCTGGAGCTCAGGGAGGGAACAGAGGGTTCCCGAAGAAAAAACAAAATCTCAGGGGCTGACTCTGCAGTACGGCCTGAGTGTGGTGGGACAGGGGTTGGCTGTCCCGTTCCTGGGTGTCCTCCAGCTCTTCCCCATCCCTGAGAGACCAATGGAAAAAGGAGACTCATGACAGGTCACCCAATTCACCCACCAAGAGCTGGGTGGCAAAGACGGAGGGGCCCCGGGACTGCGGCGGGACCCCCGTAGGCTGTCCCATGACAGCCAAGACCCAATGAAGACACGACATCACTAGGCTACCATCCTCTCTGCCCAGGAAAGGGCAGGGGCTCCCTGCCACCGTGTGGTAGATGGGTCCACAGAAGGCCTGCTCTTCAACCCTAATGCCCAGCCCTGCCTCCTTCCACCTGAAACCACAGAGCATGGAGCCCTAGAAGCTTCGGAGCTGAGGACTTCCGGGGGGCAGCTCTCTCAGATCAAGGACTGGAAGACAACACCACAGTCTCGATCTCTTGACCTTGTGATCTGCCCGCCTCGGCCTCCCAAAGTGCTGGGATTACAGGTGTGAGCCACCGCGCCCCACCATATTTAGGTATATTTTTGTCAAGAACTTGACGCAAATCCAAAGCCTCTCCAGGCCTCAGACCCTGTTCTGTGAAATGCGCAGTCATGTGTGTTGTACCAACTGTATACCCTTGTAAAGGCCAAAGGGGTGACCCATGAGCTGGCGCCATATGAGGGCTGCTTACTAGCAGGTGACCCAGTAGGTGACGGGTGGGGGAGCAGGCAGGGGGAGTGTGTCACAGGAGTAAGGGTGACTTGGCTCCAAACTCCAGCCTGGTCCTCACTCTGTCACTCACTAGGACGTGACATTGGAGAAGCCACTGCTGTGTCTCTCAGTGTCCTCAGACATACAGCAGTGGTCATAATTCCGGCCCTCATAGGCAGTTAATGCCTGGGGAATGAAATGAGAGCCTCGGGCCCCACCAGTTCACTCCGGGTCCTTGGGAGTCACGGGAAAAGCCAGGCCCAGCAGCCCTTCCCGCAAGTTCCAGAGGCTTCCCCTGAGCTCTTCCGCTCCTCCCCAGCACCAAGGCGTAGCAGCACCTCATTAACTGGTGATTTAATGCTTCAAATGGGCTTTGTGCTCCTCGGTGACCTCCCCCTCACCCCAGCCCCCTGCTCCCTAATCTGTCAGCAAATCTGCTTTTTGTCTGAAAGAGGAAAAACAAGTTTCCCACCAAAGTGCTTGTGGGCAGCTTGTAATGTATCTGAAGTCCGTCCAGGGGTCGATGGACCGAGGGTGAGAGGCGCTCAGAGCCACACATGCTTTACATAGTTCTGCCTCCCTCTGTGGTTTGGAAAGCTGGGACTTTCACACAGCCATCCTCTCCTGTCCTCAGCCCTGGGTCCCCCTGCCCTGCCGGTCCCCTGCACACTGTTTATCAGGCCCAGTCTGACCACAGGAAAAACATTCCCTTTGAATCTCCCCAGTCACCCCATACCCCCCTCCCCTCCCACCCTCTACCCCCCACTCCTACCCCCACCCCCGCCAAGAAGTTCCTCCCACTGGCCAAGGGCTGGTCCAAGAAGTCTCTGTTGGCCTCTTCCCCTTCCTGGGCCTCCCTCCCCGCCTTCCTGGCTGGAGGCTTCCAGGTTCACCTCTTTACCCCACTGGGTGCCTTCAGAGCACGGCTGTCCTGCCTGTGTTCCCCCCCAGGAAGCCACAACAGATCTTCAGTCAAAGCCTGTGGGATGAGCTTGAGCCCACCCAGGGATGCAGAAAAAAAAAAAAAAAAAGACAAACCAAAAGCTTGTCAAATGAGACGATTGTAAAGATTTGGCTCCGGAGTGTCAGTTTGGGAGGATGACCGCGCTCTGGAGACAGGCAGATGGTGCTGGCGGCCACGCAACTGTGTGTGTGCACTCAGTGCCCCTTAAATGGTTAGGATGATACATTTCATGTGTGTTTTGCCACAATCAAAAACAATGAGCTTCTTGTTGCTGAGGTGCGCAGGGCTATGGGAGGCAGTGTGGGAACAATGCCTCCCTGGATCCCCGGGCGCCCTGTGGGTCTCCTGTGAGACCATGCCCCACCCCCCCACCTGAAGAAGCTGTCACCTGCTTATTGACGAGTGAGTCCCACCGGCTCGGCAGGGCTCTTGGCTGTGGCTGCTGGGGAGGCTGAGCTGCAGGAGGAGGAGGTCCCTGTCCTTCAGCAGGGCCCCCTGGCGCATCCCCATGGGTGCCTGGGACTAACCCTGCCTTCAGGTCCCTTCCGGACCCTGAAGCCTTGGTAGCCCCTGTCTGGGGACAGCAGGAAGGAGTGAGTTGTGCAGCCTGCCCTGAACAGCGAGCATTTGTGTCAGCAGGCTCCTGGCTTCCTTGCCTGTGGCCAGCCCACTTTGGAATCGTGATTTAAAAGGATCCTGTGGAGCCCAGCTGGTGCCCACTCTGTGCACAGAGGAGTGGCAGCCCTGGAGTCAGCCTGTGGGTCTGCAGCCCCTTGCTGGGGCTGGGCGGCAGGCTGGGCAGGTCAGTGCTGGTAACCTTAGTCCTGGTCCACGCCTGCCCTGGGACTCCCAGGACTGGCCTCCCTGGGTAGGGGCAGGGGCAGGGGCAAGGGCAGGAGCAGGGGCAAAGGGTAGAGCTGGGCTGAGGGCAAGCATTCTCAGCCTGAAGAGGGCTCAGCGATGTGCAGGATTGCTCTGGCTGGGGGGCTGAGCAGGTTATCAGGACCCTCTCCACGCACCCTGCCCGGCCCCCAACACCAGGGCAGGAGGTCTCACCAGTTGGGGTGGATGGTTCTGTGGGCTGAGGTGGTCGTGCCCTGGGTTCCATTCCCTTAGAGGTAGAGTGGTCAGTTCTAGGTGCCAGGCACAGGGAGCAGGGCAGCGTGTCCGCTACACAGGGTGCCCAGCCTCACCCTGGACCCTCGCGGTCCTGAACCGCACAGACATGCGGGCAGTAGGAATGGGCGCTCCCACCCAGGGCTGCTGGGTGGAAGTCCCTTCATGGGGCTGGTGATGGCAGAGGTGGCGTCATCTCCACACACACGGGTCGCTCAAGTGCTGCTTTACCCTTGGGGGCACTGGGCCCAAGCCCAGGGGAGGAGCCTGTTGTGATAAAAAGGCAGATAAAAAAGTATGGGAAGAAATCTTTGGGGCAGAGGGGACTTAGAAAAAGGTTGTAGAAGAAAGCGAGGTGTCCATAATAATCCCCAGCACAAGTCCTAGTCCTCTCTGCTACAGAGAAACTCCTAATTGGGTCAAAGCAAGCAGGGAAACAGGATCGGGTCCATCATTCTCGGAGTCTCGAAGACGAAAGGAAGCGAGTTTTCCAGAAGCCCAGCAATTCCTGGGACTGAGGCCAAAGGCGCTTCTTCCGTGGGTCCCCTGGCCCCGTGCCCATGACTCACAAACTGTACCCTCCAGGTTAGCCACGTAAACCTGTTAGGGAAATTAACAGGTTTCCTAGGATTTTCGCTAACAGCATCCCATAGGATATGTGGACCGCGCTGTGCCAAAGTAAACTTTTTGTAGGGGAGGAGATTTTAACAGTCCTGGCGTTTGTATGAATATGTTCCTACTTTTAAGTGAACCTCATTGGGTTATGAAATCGGACCTGGCACATTGGTTATCAGTAGATACCAATACATTTTATTGTGCAATTACTATGACCCAAATGATGTGCTAACCCCTTTTTTACATATAACGATGTGGGTATATTATTTTCTCTCTTTTACAGTTGAAGAAATAGACCTAAAAGGATGATTGTAACTTGCCCAAATGTGTGCCACAAATGGCCAAAGAGGCCAAGTGCCCCGGGCCGTCTGACCGGATCCCACACCTGACCCCTCTGCGCTCACCCCCTGTGGCAACGGCTTCCCAATCTTTTTGACTGAGGCTCACATGTGGGTCATTAGATATCAAAGTAACACAGCTGTGTCACTGACAGTCCCGCCCCTCACTATTTAGTTGCGCATCAGTATTTTCTATTTTATTTTACTTTAAAACAATGCTGGTCAGAGACCCACTCAGTTGATTTCACAACCTCCTCCTAGGTCACAATTCTCTGGTTTGAAAAACACTATACTGCCTCATAGTGTAAACAAACAAAGATTTAAGGAGCCACGGCCTACGCTGTGGATTAGCTCTTCCAATCCCAGTTCCTTCCTCCCCCCTTGCCTGCCTTCACTAAAGCATCCGGAAAAGCCAGATGCTCTTTTCTCTGCCTTCCGGGCCATGGGACACAGCTCTGGTCAATGAGATGAAAGCTGACAGCTGTCAGAAGGACTTAAAACGCTTTGGCTGGCGGGCGCAGGGGCTCACGCCTGTAATCCCAGGACTTGGGGAGGCCGAGGCGGACGGATCACCTGAGGTTAGAAGTTCGAGACCAGCCTGACCAACATGGAGAAACCTGGTCTCGACCAAAAATACAAATTAGCCGGGCATGGTGGCGCACGCCTGTAATCCCAGCTACTCGGGAGGTTGAGGTAGGAGAATTGCTTGAACCTGGGAGGCAGAGGTTGCGGTGAGCTGAGATTGTACCATTGCACTCCAGCCTGGGCAACAAGAGCGAAACCACTTCTCAAAAAAAAAAAAAAAAGAAGAAAAGAAAAAGCTTTGGCTTTCTGGATAAAGCTCCTTTCCCCTGGCTTCCTTCCTTGAATAAAGATGTGATGCCAGGAACTCAGGCAGCCTTCTTGTAATCATGGGATAAAAGCAAAGAGAATCAGGGAAATGCTGGCTCCAAGCTCATTGAGCTGCTAAATCAGCATCACCAGCCACTCTTCTTGTTATGTAAGAGAAATGAACTCCTGTTTCACCAAGCTTAGGTTTTCTATTCTCTGCAGCTGAAAACATTTCTAACTGATAATAACCCAAAAAAACCCCAAAACCTCAAACACATAGTTCCTCCTGTATGTTAAGCCCTGTGCTTCACTGTCTGGTGACCAATGCAGACACTTGCACTTGGAAATACTAAAATAGATTTTTAAAGAACAATCTATTAACTAGTTCATCTATTTAAGGCCATAGTTTGTTTTTTTCCAGTCTGTCCAAATTAGTAATGTACAAGGGAGCAGGCAAGACACAATTTCTGTAACTCTTTTTTTTGAGACAGAATCTTGCTCTGTTGCCCAGGCTGGAGTGCAGTGGCACGATCTCAGCTCACTGCAATCTCCACCTCTCAGGTTCAAGAGATTCTCCTGCCTCAGCCTCCCAAGTAGCTGGAATTACAGGCACCTGCCACCATGCTCGGCTAATTTTTGTATTTTTAGTAGAGATGGGTTTTCACCAGGTTGGCCAGGCTGGTCTCAAACTCCTGACCCCAAGTGATCGGCCTGCCTCCGCTTTCCCAAAGTGCTAGGATTACAGGCATGAGCCACCACGCCCGGCCTATTTGTTTCTACCATGGGGCAAACCCAAATTCTTTGGAAGAGAGTGTTGTGAGATGTGGCGATGGAAACAGCTGCACGGGAATGCCACACTCACTGTGGGGCCTGTAGGAAGAAACGTGTGAAAGGTTCCCAGAAGAGAAGGCAACATGATTCCCGCTGGAATCTGCAGGGCTGTGGTGGTTTCGATTAGAGAGCGAAGGGGCGGGTACCTGGCTGCTGGAGTGACAAGCCTCTGTGTTAATTTCCAAGTCTTCAGTCGTCCCTGTCTTCAGTTATGTTTGATGCTCTCCTGTCAGGTGAGTAGGGCAGGTCTTGTTGTTCCTGGTTAATGGAAAAGGAATGGAGGCCCTAAGAGGTGGAGGGCTTTGCCTTTGTTCACATACTAGGTCTCCGTGGAGCAGTGCAGTCCTCTTCCCAGAGCTCATGCTGGCCTTGTTACCCCCGAATCCCTGCCTTTGTTCTGATGTGCCTCACCTTCAATGCCCTGCCACTTGTGGGCTGGGCCAATCATATGCTCTCCTGGAAATCTGAATCTTAGAGACGCAAAGGAACCCAAGGTGGTTGGAGGCTGGAGCCAAGTCTGTTTCTGTTACCTGCATACCAAAAACCCTGACTGACAGAAAACTCTACAGGGCAGAAGGTTGAAGGCCACAGGCAAGCAGAAAAATGGTAGGTTATTTGGAATTCGTTATTGGGATCTAGATGGGCAGAGAGTAGTTAAACTCCCATTTACATTCTTGTGTGAACGGTATTATGGGTTGACACCATAATGTATATATCGAAGTACTAACCCCCAGCACCTCAGAATGGGACTGTCTTGCAATGCACTTGGTTCAGTTAGGAGGAGGTTTTAGTCTGCTCAAACTATCCTTACAAAATGCCAGAGACTGGATGGCTTAAACACAGAAATGCATTTCCTCACAGCGCTGAAGACCGGGAAGTCCAAGATCAGGGTGCTGGCCAGCCTGGTTCCTGGTGAGGGGCCCCCTTCCTAACTTGCAGGTACTTTCTCACTGTGTCCTCGCATGGCAGAAAGAGCACA